TCCCTTGTAAACTCTGACTACAACATGCACCATGATCAATTCATTAGGAAACCCTATACATTATACTTTTCTTCTATTTAAAAATATTGAAATAATAACTGTATATATTCAAAATGCATAACATGATTTGATATATGCATAAATTATGCATTAAATGCCATAGTTGAATTAATATCTCCATCAACACTCATAAAACACTCACAGTTACTATGTGTGTTCATCCATGTGTCAACATGTCTATGTAGAGTAGACTGAGGACACTTAAAATCTGCTCTCATCAAATCTTAAGTAGACAGTACTATAGTTACCATGCTGAACATGAGAACCTGAGAATACAGTGTATGCATTTTACAACTGAAAGATTATTCCCTTTGACCAACATCTCCCCATCTCCCTTAGGTCCCAGCTTCAGGAAACCATTGTTTTTTACCCTACATCTATTTAACACTGTAAGGCTCTACAAGTAATTAAGATCATACAGCATTTGCCTTTTGTTGTCTGACTTATTTCACTACCATAACGTCCTCTGCATTCACCTATGTTATCACAAATGGTAGAATTTCCTCCTTTTCTATGGCTGAATAATATTTCATTACATTTATACCTCATTTTCCTCATCTGGTCATCATGAGTGGATACTTAGGTTGTCTCCACATCTTGGTTACTAAGAATAGTGCTACAATGAACATGAGTTCTACTTTTTTCTTGAATCTGTTTATTTCTCAACATCTGACTAAATCTACCTGATACCATCAATGGCTGGTCTCCTAGCTAGTTTTTTATATCTACTGTTACTCTCTTCCAATATAATCTTCAAATTTTAGCTCTAATTATAAGATAATCATGGCCCATTTAAATAATTCAGACCAAAAGTTAGTATGTGGGGCTGCTGCAGCTTCAGAGACTAACCAAAGTGAGCAGAGTGCCCAGTAAGCGGGGAAGACGAGTTGTTGGAGCCCTCTCAGGGCGGGCATCACTATGAGAGCACAGCCCGGCACAGGCAGGAACCTGGGTGGAACAGAGCATCTGCTCGAGAGCAGTTTAGCAGCAGGTGTGGAATCCAACCAAGTATGATAAGGAGGGCAACTGCACCAGGGAGAGACTCACATCGACAGGGGACATTAGTAAAAATTGTGGCTCTGAACTAATGAGAACCTGGGTTTTCACTGGCAGAGGAAGACGCTGCATGTATGGAAAGCAAGAAACGTAGAATTAATAAATCCTGACTCCTGTGGCATTATCTTGCAGTTGGAAGTACTGGTATAAACCCACAGTATTATAGGGAGTTAAGTTAGATAAAAATTAATATACAGTCAGAAAGGGATTGGGCTCTCAAGGAAGTCAGTGAAAGGTGGAGACATCAAATTGGGGCTGGAGGCGCATCTGAAGGCAAGGTTGCAAGATTGAAGTCACAAAGGTGAGACTTTCACGCTTCCCTAAAGGATGAATGAAAATTTGAGCTCATACTATAATTAATACCACCCAGTCCATCAAGTTCAGATATACATTAGCCATCTGGGTGGGTGACCAGAACACCTGGGTCCATCTCTTCCCCAAAATGTTCCAGTTTTAGAAGCCACAGATAAGCCAAGGTTGTTGATGTCAGCAATATGCCCTTGCTACGTGTCCCACTTCACTACTGGATCAGCGTTAGCTAAGGGGCTACACTTGTATCTTACTGGTTGGTTATAGCTTGGCTCACATTGTACCTTGTGATTTTGCCCTATAAAACATTCTTGGAGAAATGACCCATCTTTGGGACCCCTTCTACCCCTGAGGAGCTATTCCCATTTTCCAGTAAACCTTTTCTACTCTTAACCTCCTTTGTCTGGAATTCCTTCTTCGATTTCAGGGGACATAAACTTAGCACATCCGACATCTAGTAGGTTTCTCCTCTATCAATAGCTTTATGTGTGTAAATGTGAGCACCTGTGTCTGCACATGAATATACATCCCTACTTTTGTCTGTCAGGAAGCAAGAGAACCCTGATAGTATGGAGCATCATTATACACAGATCTTGCTACCAAATATCATCTTTTTTTAGTAAGACCTTTTCTAAACTTCTGAACTCACAAGTTGATCATTTCATACTATTCATTCTCACAGCACTAGGTATTTTCCCTTCGGAAGTACAAATGTTTGAAAAATTGACTGTGTCCTTCCTCTATTATCTTATTTCTGCAGTTCAGAGATCGCCACAGGACCTACACAAGACCGCCCAGGGAACAGGAAAGAGTTTTGATAAATTGCTGCCACATTTAACCTCTCTAACGCTCTCCGAACTGCTCCTCCTTTTCCAGTTGGGTCCCCTTTGTATCCTCTTCAATAGTTGCCGCTACACAATCGCAGTCCCTTCAAAGTTTTAGAAAGCTTCCTCATCACCCACAAACTAGTCTGTCTTCATTGTGGCATAAAAAACTGCAGTCTGGACCCTGATGAATTCTCCAGTTGTGTTTCACTTTTGAATTGGTAAGTTTGTTGGCTCAGAATATGGCATAATGATTAACATCATAATCTCTGGAGGCAGACTGCTTAGGTATGAATCTCAGTTCTAACACATACTATCTCAATTTTTCAACCGTGAAATGGGTATAATAACGTCCACCATCTTATAAGATTTGGAGGATTAATACATGCATGCTTGGACTAGTTCACAAGTATCAGTCTGCCTCTAGTATTTCTCCCTTTGTTTTCATTCCACCTCCTCGCCTTTCCTACGTTAGGTTAGCCATGGATCCCATATAATTACAAAATTTAATAAGCCAATGCAATTTATAAACTACAACTTATGTTAGGGTTGACATAATCAGATATCAGCTTCATCGTGACATTTTCGCTTTTGATGGTTGTAACTGTAATTAATTGTTGCATTGCGTGGGTCAAAAATGCAGCTTGCCTTTTTTTTTTTTTTTTTTTTTTTTTTTGGTTTTTCTCCGGTACCGGGAACCGAACTCACGACCTTGCGCTTGCCAGGCAGGCGCTTTGCCGC